CAAATGTCACCGGAACTCAAACCCTTATCGGCGCAAGAATGGGAAAATCTAATCGACGATTACAACCACGGTGGTTCACGGCGGCTCCGGTGGACTTCCATCAACTACGCCGCCGTTCCTCTCCTTGACCTCACACTTTCCTCACTTCTCCGGAAAGATATCCCTCACAATCTCAAACTCCAGCTCCTCATCTTCATCGAAGAACACTTCAGCACAGACGAAAGCGATACCGTATCACCTACTTTCCTCAACCGCTTCCTCGAAGCCCTCCGGTCGGTAATCCAATCACCAAACGACGGCGTTTCAACGTCGTTCGCTCTCAAGGAACAGTTTCTTATCTCTTCAACTTCAATTTTCGTCAATTACGTGAGTTATACATCGAATTGTCTCGATTCTAACTTTGTTACTCCTCTTGAAAGTTTAATTGAGCTTTTGTTGACTATTATTAACCGGCCGAATCATAGCGTTGACCGGCAAACTCGATCAATTGCTTGCGAGTGTTTACGTGAATTAGAAACTGCTTTTCCTTGTTTACTTTCGGAAATTGGATCACATTTGTGGAGTTTGTGCCAAAATGAGCGTACTCATGCTGCCCAAAGCTATGCATTATTGTTATCAACTGTTGTTCATAACATTGCTAGATTAAAACCTACTGTTTCATTCAGTAATTCTTCGACATTGGTTCCGTTTACTGTACCTAGGTTTTTGGTTGATGAAAATGTTAAAAATGGACATTTTCAAGGGGAGTTATCGGATTTGAGTAACAGGGAATTGAGGAGAGTGGTTGCTTTTTTGCTTGAATGTCCACAGAATTTGACTCCTTGGGGGTTATTGGAGTTCATGGATAAGACATTGCCAGTTGCTGCAGTATTGGATTTGCAGCCATCTTTGTTGAAGGTTCAGTTTTCAGGATTGCTTCATACATATGATCCTTTGCTATGGCATGCATATTTAGTCATGTACTTAAGCTATATGGATTCTTTTGAAGGGCAAGAGATGGAAATTGCGAGTCGACTGTTGTTGTTATCCAAAGAATCCCAGCATCATTTGTTTTTTCGATTGTTGGTGCTGCACTGGTTAGTTGGGTTCATAGGGTTGGTATTGAAGAGGGATTTTGAGAAAAGGAAGAATGTTGTTGATATGAGCTTGAGCTTTTACCCATCGGTGTTTGATCCCCTCGCTTTGAAATCGTTGAAGCTTGACTTGCTTGCCTATTGTTCAGTTTTGATTGATAATGTCAATGGAGTAATGAGTTCAAAAGGCAGTCCACAAATGACTCGGGAAAAGTTATTTGAAGATGGCCTTGTTTGTGTATCAGCTTTTAAATGGTTACCTCCTTGGAGTATGGAAACTTCTGTGGCATTCCGTGCAATCCATAAGTTTTTGATCGGTCAGACATCTCACTCAGAAAATGATTCTATCTCCAATAAAAGCCTTTTGGAGCCAGCAATCTACCATACTGTGCAGGTACACATACTTTGAACCTGTTGTTCTATTCTTACTTTGAGTCTGTGGCATTGGTTTGACGCATTTGGTGCTTCACTAAAAGGAAAGAGCTTATACATTCTTTTCACTTTGCGTCTCTATGTGCAAACAGTCGCTAGATATTTTCTTCTTTTCCGTTTTACTTGATCTGTTTGAATTTGAAAGTATAGAGGAAAACATATTATTGATGAAAGAAGGTTAGAAGACTGTAGCATAATAGAGAGATCTAGAAGATGTGCTCCAATGAAAGATAAGAACTTTGGTGAAAAGAATCTGCATACACCGTACCTCTCCAACAATATATAACAAGTTCTTCCTTCAGGCCATCTATAGGTGCCCTGCCACGTGTGTAGCTTTAATGTCTTCAATCTTCTTGTCAAAATACGGATGTTGATTACTTTATCTTGGGAGCTATATCGTAGAGGTGTTACTGGAGTTTGTCTTATAGGAGTTTAGAAATGAATGACAGATGATGCATCTCCTCCTGACTTATCAGTAGTACTGATACTCTACTCTGATTTTGCAATGATGCTCATATATTTTTTGCCTAAATGTTTCTGAAGCTTGACTTATGTTTTGCAGAGAACACTTATAGACTCTTTGTCTGAATATAGAGGATTGGTCCCTGTCATTGTTGGCTTCACAGACCGCTTGTTGACATGTTACAAACATCAATTTTTGGGAGAACGCCTACTTAAGACATTTGATGATAACTTGCTTCCAAAACTCAAGATAGACTACAAATTGGTATCTTACTTCTGTATATTGGAAAGGATTGCTGAAAGTGATAAAGTTTCACCTAGTGGGTTAATAGAGCTCCTTACCAGGTTCATGGTAGTTCTTGTTGAAAAACATGGTCCAGATACAGGATTAAGGTCTTGGAGTCATGGGAGTAAAGTTCTTGGAATTTGTCAAACTATGATCATGCATCACTATAGTTCCAAATTATTTGTTGGGTTGTCTCGTCTTTTATCATTCACTTGTCTTTATTTCCCAGATCTGGAAGTTCGTGATAATGCCAGGTAATACTATGAGAAATATCTCCATCCCATTTCTTACCTCATTCTGTTCGGATGTACACATTGTCTATATCGTCACCTGTTCACCGCAGATGAAAGATGTCAATAACATTGGGAAGCTTGTTCACCATTGAATTTGCACTTTGTAGGATTAACTGGGGAAAATAAACATATTGAGTGTGCAATATACTATTGTTTTCTAACATTTGGTGGTATTTTACAGAATTTACCTGCGGATGCTGATTTGTGTTCCTGGGAAAAAGCTAAGAGACATTCTAAACAGTGGGGACCAGCTTCCTGGAATTTCTCCATCTACCCATTCCAGCTCTTTCTTCAGTGTTCAGTCTCCTAGACTTTCTCACGACCCTAAGAAATCTAGGAATATTTCGTCCTGCATGCATCTTGAGCGCATTGTGCCATTGTTGGTTAAACAATCTTGGTCTTTGTCCCTGCCAGCCCTGGGATTTGATGCCAAGAAACCTAGTTATATAGAACCCATCAAGGACAACGCGTCCCCAAGTGAGCAAATTGAGTTTGACAAAATTACTGATGATACAGTGATCTCTGAAGCCAATCGGCACAATCAGCCTCCGGAGCCATTACGTGTGATGGATTCAAAGATTTCACAGATAGTTGAAATCTTGAGGAAGCATTTTTCATTTATTCCTGACTTTAGACACATGCCGGGTACCAAGATCAAAATATCCTGTACTTTAAGGTTTGAGTCAGAGCCCTTCAGTCGCATTTGGGGAAACAATTTGCCAGCTAATGGAGTCGATACCCTTCCTGCCTTATATGCAACTGTTCTCAAGTTCTCTTCTTCTACGCCATATGGCTCCATTCCATCATGCCATGTTCCTTTTCTTCTAGGTCAACCACCCAAAGGTTTCTACTCTTTTAGCCAGACGAATTCCCTTGATATTATCCCTGTGGAAGATGTTTCTGAAACTCCTGGAGATGACAAAAGCTTCAAAGCTCCTGTTCTGATTGAATTGGAACCACAGGATCCAATACCTGGTTTTGTTGATGTTTTCATTGAAACGAATGCGGATAATGGTCAGATCATTAGAGGACAGCTGCATAACATTACAGTAGGAATTGAAGATATGTTTCTCAAAGCTATTGTTCCAGAAGACATCCCTGAAGATGCAGAACGTGGTTACTACGTGGATCTGTTCAATGCTTTGTGGGAAGCATGTGGCGCTTCAACCAGCACTGGGCGGGAGACATTTGTACTCAAAGGAGGCAAAGGGGTCGTAGCAATCAGTGGTACTCGCTCTGTGAAGTTACTAGAGGTTCCTGTGGCATCTTTGATCCAAGCCGTAGAGCGATCCTTGGCACCTTTTATTGTATGTGTAACCGGTGATTCTCTAACCAACCTCATGAAGGAGGGAGGAGTTACAAGGGACATTACATGGGATGAGATTAACTTGGGTTCCTCTTCCACTGATGATACCATCGCGGAAACCAGTTTAGTTGGGGGACCGCTTTACCTCAAGTACAAGGATGATGAAGATGATGGTGAAGGGGGTTATGTCCAAATTAGTAAGAAAAACCTAGGCATTATTCAGATTTTGATATTCCTTCCACCAAGATTTCATCTCCTTTTTCAGATGGAAGTTTCTAATACTTCTACACTCGTTCGAATTCGAACAGATCACTGGCCATGCCTAGCTTATGTTGATGACTATTTAGAAGCTTTATTTTCCTAAAGAAATTAGTTTTTTTACTCTCCTTATTTCATTGAGAGTCATATTCTTTTTCCCCATTAGTTCACTTTGTGAGCTTGTGATATTTTACTCAATAATAGGTCTGATGTAAATTTGCTCTTCTTTGCAAAAAACTTCTTGGTAAGACTGCAAAGAATGTAAACGCCTTGTATAATGTTTTTGATGAGAGATGAAATGGTGCAACTTTCTGTTTCTTGTGATAGTGCAAAAGTTCCATGCTCGATCGAATTAATTATAAAAAAAAGAATGCTTTCAATTGAATTATTTTACATTTTCATGCTATTGTGCATCCTAGAAGGGGACCCTTGGCGTAATTGATAAAGTCATTGTCACGTGAACAGGAGGTCATGGGGTTTGCTTGTAGAAATGCAGGTAAGGCTGCATAGACCATTGTGGTTTGGTCCTACCCGCACATGGAGAATCAACCTCTTTTGTACTATGATGGCTTGATATATACATGAAAAAGATAAAATTTAGAATTGAAATAAATCTCTTACAACAACATACTGTGTGTAATCCCACTAGTAGGGTCTGGGGACGGTGGTGTATACACAACCTTACCCCTACCTTTGAGAGAGTAGACAGGTTGTTTCCGATAGACGTTGAGCAAAATTTTACAGATTTGTAGAGCACAGCTACTTAATAAGTTACCACCAACTTAAGAATACAAGAACATGGAGGCTGGAGCAGTGACTTCTTTTCTCTCCCACCCTTCACCTTTATCTGCTGCTTTTCTCTCTTTCTTTCTTCTTTTTTTGCATGAGAGGAGTACAAAGCTATATGTATCATGGGATTTCATGTCGTCTGCTGTTGATGTGAGCACCGATAAATGGTTCAATGTTTCCGTTTAACACAGCAGTAAGGTCAGACAATTGGACGCTCGTCTTCATATCTTCTACCAGTTTGTTTGGATGATATACATACCTCCTTATCACTTGGTTCCAACTACTAGATATATCACTACTTCTGATGCTAGCCAAGTTTGAGACTCCTTGCTCCCTCATTACAATGAGAAGTTTTGCCTTTAAGCGATTTAGGGCCTTGAGCTTATTTGCGAAACGACTTCTTTCACCTATAAATAGAAACTCTCATGGTAGAGAGTGGCCCAAAAAAGTTGAGAAAGCAAAAGAGATTTTATATGTGGAAAATAAACATTTATCTTGCACAGGCAAAATGTACTAGTCAGAGCCACAAATTTAGAGCATATATTCTCCTAAGGCGGCAACACATTTGTGTCGGACACAAATATCTTGGACTGTATCTCACAGGCCACAGCTATCAGAAAATCAATGGAATATGAATGAATCTGTCAACCATGTGGTAGTATACGATCTACTGCAGAATCTTGAAACACAACCTTTTTTTCTCTAAAATGTGATGTATCACTTTTATGTGCAGTATGACTTTTGAATGACCAAGGGACAAGAATGCGCCCAACATTCAAGCAACTCTTTTGAGTTCACTTAACGACACACTTAAATATGGTGTCCACGTGATTACAATGATATGTAACAACTTATATGTATTATATAGACTTATTATGTTCTATTGGGTGCCCCATAGACATTTAACTCGTTTGCTTGTTGAAAATGTATCCAATTCTGTAACTGGAGACAAACCATAGAAGAAGTTTCCTTGTCATGCCATATCTCATACCCTTTGAGATATAATTCTTCAGTTCTCATTGTTCTAAGTCTAACCTCAGAGAAAGGAAAATCAAGAGAGTTGCAAGGTAATTTCCTTCAAAGTATTTCTTAAAAAGAACTTCTGCATGCATCAGTATCTATTAGAGTCTCTATAGCAGTCTGTATGACTGCCTAACTTCTCTACGGTCAGCAGGACAGACTGCAAAAGTTTATTTTTCTTTCCTAATCGACTACTTATTATGGTAATGAACATTCGACTTAAAAACTAAAAGACAACTCTCCAGGCGATACTGCCTAACTTCTGCACTCTGCAACAATTGTTGGGACGGACTTTCGTGGATATTCAGATCCATAGACACACCAAATAAAATTTTCTACACACATACAAATATAGAGAAGATTATGTGTGTATGTAGAAACCTTAAACAGATCATTGTGCAAAAACATCAAAGTACTATGAATCACCTATAGAGACAATGATACTCAACTCAAATCACCCATTATTACCTGTTGACCGGACTTGCAATCCTGTTGGAATGTGCTGAATGGTGAGTGAAGGTGAAGTCCTGCCCTGTTCCTCTTCATACAATGTTGTAATTTCTAGATCGTTTTCATCAATTTGGAGGTCAGGGGATGATTCAAGAAAAAGAGGAATAACATTGATCGCAGCAGCTCCATCCTGCACAATCCATTAAGATTAACCTGTAAATTTTATCATTTTGATGAACATCTAAGAGGATACAAGTAGCCAGATAGACCGTTGTGTTAATGTAAGGTACATAATGATTGCTCGACAAAACATGTGTCGAATCATCATCCTTCATTAGTTGGTTAATACTTCAAAAGTTTAAAGTTCTTGTCTTCCCAATAGTTTAAAGGAATTTCAGTATTCATTTTAAAGTTCCCCTCTTTCCTGACATATAAAGTCTCTGTGACATCATCACATAAGGAGCTCTTTCTTCGCAAAAGCAATACCTCATCATGAAAATCGATGGCCGAGTGATTTGAATTCCACGTTCTAGGAAAATGGAAGGGGGTTATTTTATCTTAGTGCAAGTTTGGTAATAGGAAGAGATCAGTGTACTTAGCGTCATCTGTTTGTTTTCACTCCTTATTCTACTGAGTACTGACTATTGTTAACTCTAAGTCACCCCTTATTCTACTGACTATTGAACTGCATCGAAGCATGGTAAATTTAAGATTGTTTCATAAATCATCAAGTTCTATAAGTTCTATACTACTTCCACTCAAAACTTGATGTACTATATTTTATCTATGCAATAATAAACACCATGATAACTATATTATATCTTCTCCTTTTCAGTTAAATGTTGGACAATCACAGTTTCCTTCATAACATTAATAGGTAGTAGTCACATTTTATGACCTGAAATAGATTACAGAGAATTTTTGAACTAACGGTCAGCGGTTGTTATTTATTCACTTCAGATAAACTAAACTCTAAGCAGAATGCATCAGAATACTGAGATTTAAGACGACACATGAAAAATGTTCTCCTCTTAAAAGGCCAACAAGAGTATGTCTAATGACTCTCATAGAACACATAACTCAAAGGATTCAGTAGGAAATAGGAAACTATTGGAATATTATAATTCACATAATCAACTGATAGCGACAGGGGAGAACTAAATTTGAGCTAAGAGTCCTCAGATTCATACCTTTGAAAGATCAAATTTACCTTCAGAACTTCCATTCATGCAATGGATTCCTCTTTCTCCTGAAAGATAGCCGTATGCTGACTTGAATTCTAACTCAATCATCACATATTTGATACCACCACTCTCTGAATCTTGTTTCTCAACTATCCTCGCCTTATGACCTTGTTTTTCTGCCCATTTGATATACATTCTTGTGAGTTTTTCTGCCCAAATCTGGATCAAAGTGGATAAGTCTAACAGTGAGAAACAGTACCAGAGTCTTGCCTAGAATGAAATTTCTAAGGAAATAAAGCTACATCAGCTTGAAGAAAACCCATCTCTTCGACTTTGAATAAGCAGAATAAATAGATGTTCATGAGCAGCTTGAAGACGAGTTGCTAGGAGTAGAAGGCTAGTATACCTACTTCCTAATCTCAACTATAAACCTTATCAGGCATCAGGTCTACAAACTACTACCTCCTCTCTGAAATTCGATGTTTTCCATAAAGAACAAAAAAATTGGAAGTTCAGAATCATTTCCATGTAAAATAAGTTTCTCACAGTCGAAATTTAAATCTTTTTGGGAGAAGAATCTATGGTGCAGATTGACTATTAACTTTATGGTTGAGATGAGTATATAAGTGAACAGTATTAAGGAGCAAGGGCACTGATAATACAAATATAACCCCCTTCCCTCCTTGCAACTTCAAATGCAGGGAACTCATCATGAAAGTTCCACTTCTTATACCTACCTAATAGCATGTTTATATCTCAGAACACTCATTGGCCTACTTTTTTCACCTGAGATGCATATGGACCTTTACTATTGACTCTTCAAGTACATGCGGCAATATAGCAAGAGATCACAGGTGAATACCTGCGAGTAAATGCCCTCGTTTCCAGATTCAATGGTCACACATGCTCCCTCCATATCATATGGCTCCCTAAGAAGCTTGGACATTTCATACTTATCTAATGTCTTATTCACACTCACACAAGCTGTATACGCCTGCTTTAAAAAGTCATAGTTGATAGAATCCATTCCTGCTAGTTCCGTAATCAGCTTAGCTTCTTCAGCCTGCAGAAGCACACTCAATGGAATAAAATTTGAATTTTATGGTTTTCCCTTTTAAGTCTTAAATAACTAGGCAATAAACATATGCTGACAAGTGAGAATTAGCTTTGGGTTATCTTGCATGATACCTTGTATCTAAGGTCTTTGAGGGCATCAACCGCTTTGGTGCTTTCAGCTAATTGCACAAGGTCTTCATTTGACTTGGCTACGTCATCCCACAAATCATATTCACGAATAATTTCTTCCTGCTTGAGGCGTCTTGCTTCTTCAAATTCTAGTGCTGTTGGTGCCAACATTTCAGCACGGAGTACCAAATCTTCAATCTTCCTTTTCAAAGCAAATGTGCCTACATCATGAGACCATCCATACCACAAAAAATTAACAGACTATTACTTACTATACACGCATTCAAATGCCAAGATTTTATGGCAGTATCTTGATGCTGTGTATAATTTTTCTAATGGTGAGTCGGTCTAGGAACATGAATATGTTGAGGATTCTAACTTGATTGAGTTGCATTCACATGCTTCTTGACAAAGATTCTTCTCAGCTATTTAGAGTTTCTTCCCTTTAAATTGTCCACTTTCCCATGCTATCTTCTCTAGACAACACTTAAAAAAGCATTAAGACCTGTTAAGGAAGATCTCCTGGTGTGTGAAAAAGGAAAAATAAATGCATGTCCTTCACTTCCCCTTGTGGGTAAGGGCATTTTCACAAGGGAATTCAAAAATTCCGCACTTATCATCTAAAGCTACTTTTGAACTACCTTGAACTTTTTGCCTCTACAAGTTAAATTCTCCTTATGTCAAGGGGATTCAAATTAACCTTCTCCCAATATATTTCAAGAAATATCTTTCCCTATGCATAATTCTGCACGATTGGTTGTGACTCCGCTGCTGTGTGCACTGCCTACACCCTAGTCACGCCTTTACATTTCCTTCTCATTTCTTTCTTATTTTTGGAAGGGGAGCCTTGGAGCAATGTATGTCACGAGTTTGAGCCATGGAAGCAGCCACTAATACTTGCATTAGGGTAGGTTGTCTACATCACACGCTTGGGGTGCTGGCCCTTTCCCGGACCCTGCTAACGCGGGATGATTTGTGCACCGGGCTGCCCTTTACCCTCATTCTTATTTACAGTTTACTAAGCACTTCGGAAGGTTCCATCTTTCTTTAAGTTAGCCTGCTTAATTGTCCCTCACTATCTCACTGAGCTTTCTCTGTCTCCATTCTCTCAGTCTCAAACACTAGTCTTTGCACACTACTGGTAATACTTCAAATTTATATCTCAACACCTCGCACAAAATAATCCATAACCTAAAAGTAGTTAAATTCATCTAAAAGTTAATAAAGCAAGGGCAAGTAAACTTATTTATTTTAAGTTTACAATCACCTCACTGATGAACCTTCTTAAAAGAATCACGAAGACTGATAATGAAGTTAGAATTTCAGCTTAGCTTAGCAACCACTTCATTCTAAAAACTTAAAGAGTTAATGATCAAAAACACACCCGAATTATCACTTTTTCTCGAGTTTCATAGCTCAACTAACCATTATTCTCTTTACCTATCTAAACTATCATTCCCTTTGTATTAAAACACACCTCAATACTTAGCCAAATCTTTGTTCCCAATCGACAACAGACGCATGTAGACCCACTCAATTCATGAATTTCATACCTCAACTATCCATTATTCTCTTTAGCTGTTTAAATTATCACTCTCTTTGTATTAAAACACACCTCATGAGTTGGGTAAATACTTATTCCCAATTAACAACAGGGCACGCGTAGGCCAACTCTGCATCTAAGTGTGTTTTTTTATACAAATGGAGTGATAATTCAGCTAGGAAACTCGCGAAACATTAACAGTTTAGATAGCTAAATAGAACAATAGATAGTTGAACTACGAGAGTCGTGCGAAAGAGTGATACTTTAGGAGTATTATTAAACTATTAAAGATGGTAGTAACCTTTTTTTTTTGTTGATTTTACTTGATATTTCTGAAACAAGAATACAAGCAGAGAAGAGAAGAAACAAACCAAGCTCTTTGTAGAATCTGTTCTTGTCATCGGTGTGCTGATTATGAGCTCGAATTCGAAAAGAAGCTCTCTTTGAGCTTCGAAGGTTCAATGGAGAAGACGAACAAGTAGCTTCTGTCCGTACAGAAAAAGGTTCAGCAGCCATTTTAGCCATACTGGTAGTAGACTGGTGGTGGATAAAATGTTTCTTGATTTTCCGGCCGCCGCGAAGAACACGGGCTTTGGGAAATGGAGAGTGGTGCAGGGGCTGTGCGCGTGCCACATTCCTGTTTTTATATTTTTCTATGGTCTAATTAGCCTTATTTTGTCCTCTATTTTTTTATGAAAAAGAAAAATATCCCCAATATTATTATAACAACAACTAATCTTACGAGAGTGATCGGAAAAGGATGGTGTATATGCAGAATATTATTGTCTGAAATATGTTATTTTGAGCAAATATTTGAAATATAAGTTCTTCTCTAGATAATTTGAAACTAGTATATCATTTTCCAAAAGCAACGTTATGATTAGTTTTAAATTGGTATAACAAGATGTATTACTAAAAAGTGTCTTTGATAGATAGTAAAATCTTTCTCGAAAATTATTTTTCAGGAAAAATACTTTTTTTTAAAACTAAAGTTTTTCATGCTTTTTTATTTTGGATAGTAAGTAAAATATATTATTTCAATAATGTCTATATATAATCTAAGCAAATAGAATTATGATGGTAGTGATGATTGTGTAAGGAGCAGGCAATCGGGTGAAATGTCGCTTGTGAAACTTGTGTTTCTTATTTCTACTGAGAGAGTTCATTTTTCTTGCCCTAAAGAGCTATCATTATTTTCAGTAAATACAATTTATTTTTTTGTCAACTTTCTTTTCCAGCCAAAAGTATTACCTAGAAGTACTTCAATTCAATTTCTATATTCTTGTTTTGAGCAATGGTAAAGTGTTCGAACTACGAAATCAATGATGCTTGCTCAAGGTAGATTGCACCGAAACCTGTGTGAACGTGGAATGCATCATGCACCGAACTGCCCTTTTATTTTTGGGAACTTTGTTCCCCTGCAGAAGTGTGTAGTAAAGGCATTATTCAATTAAGTATCAAGAGTTTGAGACAATTGATCAAATTGTACTGGCTTGAAAATGATTGTCAAACAGCAGAAAATTGAAGTTGTTAATAATACAAGCATTATGTACTAGTTTTGAACATCAAGATCTCTGTATCTAATGATCTCGACACCCAAGTAGTCAACAGGCCCTTGGACGGCCACATGAGGCTTTCCAACTTGAACGCGAACAGCAGATACCTGTGGATACTTGGTGAGGGTTGTCGATGCTATAAGCTGAGCCACAGATTCTAGCAGATTTTTAGGTGACCCCTCCATAACCTCTTTCACTATTCTGCCAATCCATAGATTTAAAAGATAGAATCAATGAATGATCACACCAAAGCAAGCATACGTGCCTAGCTAGAAAATTGATCCGCGAAATGTTTATTCTTAAAGACTGCTAAGACAAGAAAAGCAACTGTAACTTACAAGCAAACACAGTCCAGGAGATCAGTTAGCGCCAATAGGAAAATTCCCTTGTATCAGTGATTAAACTATTGGAATTTCAGGTGTTTCTTATTACCACACACTGACATGAGATTTACTTGAGTAATCAGGATCCAGACCACTAGATCCCGCCTTTAGGTGCAAAGTGAACTCCTCTAAGATAAATAATAGTAAGGCAATAGTCCATTTTTCCTCAAGAAAGTAGAACATTACGAGAGCCTCTAGCGGTGGCATCAAAATTCCAATGTATGATGGAATATCCAAAAAACAACATAGCATCAAGAATCTGCTTCAGTATGATCTAGAAAATGTTTCAAATGAGTCAAGTTCTTACTACGAGAACTTATAAAATCATTACACCTTTTACAGCTGTTTATAACCCAATTTAACTTTGGTGAAACTGCTCAATCCTCGTATATTTTCTATCCGGTGAAAAGAGTATTATTTAAACGGACCTCTGAGCTAAAGAACCTTGTTACAGAAATATTCAAGATGTTTCATTTATTAAGCTATGAAATAAAGTTCTTTCTGTTCGTTCATCTCAACTATCAAAAATGCAAAATGAACAAACTCGAAAGCATCACTCACCGGTATATATCAGTATAACTTAGAGTATCGGACAAGCAGTCAGATTCACCAGCAGGTCGAAGATCCATCCAAGCATCAACATCTACCAGGAACTTCTGACCAAGCTTCCTTTCCTCTTGCTTCACCCCATGGTATCCATGAAACTTTAAACCCCTCAGCACAAGTTTGTCTCCTTTTGGCATGTCCATGTGACCTGTCATCGGATACTCATAAAAGAAGTCATTACAGGGGATTCTTCATTCACAGGGGCCCGAACCGGATACCAGATGGTTATACAAAAAAAAATCCTCATAAATATTGCAAACTAAAGCAGGTCATGTGATCAATTAAGTCCTAGCAATTTGATCCTATGGAGGTAACAAAATGACTAAACAAGGACACATTCCTCACTCTTCTATTACTTCTGAACGCAGGTTATTGATGCAAACACTGAGGAATACAGACATCAAGCATAACTACGGAGAGCAAAATAGGTTAGCAGACCTTCTTGCTAAGGAGGAGCAAAGAAGAAACTTTTTGATAAGCTAAGTATTTTGGTAGTTCCTTAGGTGTTTGCAAATGACTCAATATGTGTAGACATTCTAGGAACTACTTTCAAAAGACTAATTTGGTTTACATCAATGAACTATCAAGGATCTATAGCGCTACCCTTAACTTGTAAATTTTGTCGAGTACATATATCTATCCAATTAACCAAAAAAAATATGGTTCTTTAAACATCTTTCAACAGCTTTGCCTTCATGAAGTTGAAATAGATAAGTCTTGCAAATAATTGGTCCCCTCATGAGATCCCGCAAACAGTAGTGGAGCCAGGATTTTCACTAAGGTCTTTCAAACTCTGAAGAAGTAAACACATGAACTAGCTGAAGGTGATTCAACATCTACATGTAGATAAAAAATATTAACACCACCTACCTATAAGAGGTAGAGAGACTATTTTCATAGACCCTCCGTTCAACCAAACTCTAGCAATAGTACATTCTGGAAAAAAAAAACCATAACTTCTGTTTGGTCCTTAAATTTTAACCACTACATCTAACAGAAAATTCCTTTTTTGCTGCTCTACATCAAATTCTTATTATGCAGTCATAAAGATTCTACCTTTACATGCTTATATATCAAAATCAATTGAATATTTCAAACCCCAAACTTTTTTTTGAACAATTAAATGATTTCAGAGACCCAAATTAGTTTAGAATAAGATCAAATCAGCTCAAGAAAGAACAACTACTAATAAAAGGCATAAGCTTTAGCACTTACTGGAGCTGGGTTTTACGACGACTGGTTAATGGTCGGCGAACAGCCGGAAAGCCGCCGGAATCTGAATAATAATTTTGATTGGAAGTTTTCCGGGCTTCTGAATATGGAAAATGAGTATAAATATCTTTTGTGTGTTTTATTTTGCATATTTTGTAGTGTTATCTTTTAATAATAAAATCTCATAATTAAATTTACACTTTTCAAATCACTATCTTTAAAATATTGTATCAAAATATAGAAAGAAAATAAATAAATTTACTCATTTACTTTCAAATAGGTAAATTTTGAAATTACACTTTCAAGTTATTAATTTAATATCCTTACTATTAGAATTAGACTTGAGAAATAATAAAAAAGAACTTATTTCGAAGATACACTTAGATAAACATAATATATATTCAAATTTTGTATTCAATCATTTTCATAAAAAAATTAGCTACATCATGACCGACTAATAATTTGTTTGCAAATTTGTTTTGATTTTTTAAACACAAATATTAAGGTCTGTATTCTACCCATGAAATACTTTGAGAAAAGATATAAACTTACTTATTCTAATACTCCATTGATCACGTTTTAATTACCATGCCACTATAGGGAACCAAATAATTAAGGTGTAAATCATTTAAAATTGGTTTGTAAACACTAGCATACAAATTCCACTAATCAAATCCTAATATATGTCCCTTTCTCATCCTGTTTTAATACACTGAATTCAGACCCAAATTGCCAATTTTTAAATTGTCCACTAGCTCTTGGGTCCAGCACACAAGTGGCTTAATCATACTGTATCAAACACTAACCCAGCTTTCCATCTTTTATTATACCCTCACCGTTTTAATTTGTCTATCTTGTTACATACTTAAGATCATAAGATTAAAAAGTGTTTTCGTACCTTCTATATATTTTTAATTTAAAAGTCGTTTTTACTTTCTTGTGAATTGAAGGGAGAATATGTCATTTGATTAGGAATGGAATTGACCGTTTGCATGAAAACATACTACTTTTTCTAGTGCCATCTTTTTTTCTACTTTTATGGTGCTGATAACTTGGCCACACAAGTAATGCATCTTTTAAACGAATATATAGGCAGGATAAAGCATCATATTCCACTAATTTTTGGCCGTTCATGTCAACATTTAACAAAATAACATTATTGTGAATGCCTACGAGTTTAAATCTTGAATTTGCCTTTATATCCAAACCATATACCGGGATCATAAAGGATGTGAGGGACATGTTCTTGCAAACATGGGCAAAGCCACTTAAAGGCGAAGGTTGATCCAACGCACACCCTACACTGAAAAATTATATTGTAACACACCCTTCATCAAAGTTTCGGACTCCATTACTACTTGCAAATAGCACAATTATGCTACACGAGTAAAATCTTGGGTCCAAATTTATATTATGGAAAAAAAAAAGTAGAGGAAGGTTAGGAGCAAACTAAATGACCACCATAATTCACATCATTGCTATTTGGAGAAATGAAACTTAATAGCTGCTCTTTTTTTCACTTTTGTTCAACTGGTTTTTACAAATTTTTTTCACTTTTACAGTTCTGTTGTTTACAAGAAGTTAAGCTAAAGAAAGGATATCAGACTATGAACAAGGCTAGATACAAGAGTGCCACCTACCTTGCTCTATACAAAGGTTTACATGAAACTAAAACTTAAAGAGACTTTCTAAACTGCTGCAAACTAACAACTGACTTCCTGAAAGTAAACCAAGAGACTGGATCTTCAACGAGGCTGCTGGATGCTGCGGAAACTGTTCCTCGGGCTCACGATCTTGGATGCCTTCTCAAAGTATTTGGGTGGCCCAATGGGGGATCTTGGTGAACTCAATGTTCTTATCAGTGCATCAGATGGTAAACCTGTTCATCAAGTGGGTAGAGTTTACAAGGAAATCATCATTTAAGAAAAACAGTAATAACCATAGTGAACACCAAAAATAATCACAACTAAGACCAGTAATGAAGGAATTTTCCCATCTTGTTTCAACATGCTCACACAAATTCCGACACCGGCAGGGATCCCCGGACTTGTAGAGTTTATAGTATAAAGATTTAATTGACTAAAGGTTCCTCACTTTTTTTGGTTTTTCCAGACAGGTTCTGCACTAAAACTTCAGTAAACCATGCAAACCGAACAATATCTTTGTGCTAACTGTAGGTTAATTACAAGACAGAGACAGATTGTGCATACCATATTGTGGCATCGCATTGACACCATAGAGAGATGACTTAATTCCTTGTTGCCCATTTTCGGAAGATTGAAGAAATTCCTCAAACTGAGCTTCCATGTTCAAGATGTCCTCATCAACATTGAGATCAATATTTTCAGGAAGCAAATCAGCAACATCATTACCAGCACCATATTCCTCTCCCTGGTTCTGGCTCATCCAATAGTCATGGAACCATGTTGAGGTTGTCACCAAATTCCACCATTCTGGTGAAAAATCCTCTACCTGGCGCACGAATGAAGGAACAAAGAGAGGCGCATTTGGATTCAATGTTGATCTTCCTCCAGAAACTAGTGCCATATTGCTTTTTCAAAATTGATGCCTGAAGTTGTTCGATGAAACAAAAAACACATTAGTGCATGACATACCGAATATGACCATATTTAGTACGTCAAGTTTCAACTTCAATGTTAAAATCACCCACAGAACTAAAGTAGAAGTTTTTCCTGGCCTAATAAACCAAATTCATGAGCAAATTTATCAAAGTATGGTAACTGAACACTACAGAAAAGGAAAATTAACATTCTCGAGGAACATACGATTTAGAAAACCCAAATTATCAGGTCTCGCATGGATAAAGCTCTAACCAAACTTCAACAATATCCTTTCTAATCTCTCAGCAATGATTCTATCTAGCACCTGTTACTACACAGTCAAAACCATAGCGCCACAGACATGAGGTAAACACTTCATACCTATGTTGCTCGGACTCTCCAAAAATGATGGCACATCGTGTTGGATCCTTCAAAAAACCCAAACACTACTTCTGAACGATCAGACACGCAGCCATCAACATTTTTGAAGAGTCCAAGCAACATAACCTCATACCACAATTACTAGCCTTCTTCTACTGCAATTTCAACTCGCTACTCCAAACCCTAACTCATACAACTCAAAAATCTCATATTTCCATAGCCAAACATGCTCCTCCATCAATCTTTCAGATAAACTAACAATAATTAACCTCACTTTCTCGAAAAACACCTGGATCCTTCACAGATCTACTCAAAACCATAGTCTTCACTATTTCATCAACAAAAAAGTACACGATATTGACTCAAATTGACTTCAAAAATCAATCTAAAACTACTCAACAAACAACACATATCACAATTAATCACAATTTTCAAACATATTCATCTATCAGCATATATAATTCATCAAAACAAAAGCTAACAACATATTCATTAAAAAATGTTTTAAAAAAAAAAAACTAGATATGATTCAACAGATCGAAGAATTAGAAGCGAGAAAAATACTTGAAAGCTTGAAAGAAGCTTTAATGGCGAATTTACAGTACCTTTTTACAGATTTTTTGTTCTTCAGCTACGGAGACGATCTCGTACACGTATGAAATCTTATCTGCACTTGAGGTCTTATATTTATAGGCAGGAATACCGAGCCTATTAGGTTTGGAACCGAACTTGAGGTTAGATAGACCGAACCAGTCCACTGATTGACCTTGGAGGATACTTAAATAATTCTAATTAAAGTATTCCAGATATTCTTTTATAGCCAAACAGATATTAGTAATAGCAAACCGGGACCTCCGGTCAATTTTCCATAAACCGGTTAATTTCCCAACTAGTAAATATACCTTCTTCTTTTTTTTTCGAATTCGTATTGGAGCTCAACTAATTCGGATTTACGTCTCGTAGAGCCTCATTTAGGCGAAACCTTTCTATTAGAATTTTTTTCATATCCAAACTCAAACTTGAAATCTCTAATTAAGAAAGAAGCAATATATTACGTCATTTTGAGCGATATATATTACCCATCAATTTTTGTCATTTGAGAAAACTATAGAAAATCCTCCTAAATTTGACGTGAATGGTTGGCAAATTCAAACAAAAACTTCTTTCTAGTTAACTAATTGAACTTTAATACATCTTCATCTTGATATATGGGTGAAATACATCCTTAAATTCTCGTCAAAGTTCAAGGTGTTTTCAATTTATATTAAGAGTTTTACGCTCGTAGCCTCGTACAAGAGTTTAAAGAATGTTTTTATGACTATCAATAGTTCAAAGACAAAACTAACAATTTACATCAAGTTTAGAGGTGTTTTTAATATTTTTCTCTCGAATCGTATTAATCTACCGACTACAAACAAGCAGACAAAACAAGCAGCCGGTAAAAAAAAAGTGTGTATACAGGTGTTAGAAATTGACTTGATATGAAACTTCTTGTAGGGACCATTTAACGGTGATTGATCCTTTTCATAATTGTGTGTAGGCCCAATATTGTATTATAATGAACGGTTGATTGATGAGAGTGTTTTGATCGACGGTGGAGAATTATTGGAGTAGTTATGATGATGTATTCAAATGAATGGTTTAGTGGGACCCATTGTTTAGCTAAAATCCCCTGTAATACGCGTCGTGCACATGGATGAGTAGGTCGGTGCGCCCACCCACCCACCCACCTAAATATTCATAGAAATTCCAAATGAATGAATAATTTAGGTCGAAGATAGTTAAATCTTTCTATAACGGTATTGTTTATTTAAATATATTTTATTTTTTAAAATATATCGTGATATGAAGTTTTGTACATTGTTATAAAGAATAGATGTTATTGAGAGATCTAATTATATTGTTAGCAAAAGAAAAGTATGAGATTGTACAAAAATTCTTGTTATTATGATGAGATCATTGTATCAAAAGAAACTTATGGGAATAGATTGTTTGAATTTTTTTGTTTTTAATATCACAATTGCTAAATGCTTTGTAAAGTTGAGTGTCATATGTTCACTTTATTTTCGATTTGAGGAAGAAAGAAAGCTAAAGAAATAAAAGAATCGTCAAAAATATCAGACTAAGGAATTCATGGTGATGAGAGTTAAAGAAACAATAATAATATATCTAGTATAATATCATAATTGAGTTTTGATGAAAATAGAGCATATACCAATTTTACTCCTAATTTATTAGAATAGAGAGGTTGTTTACGATGGTCGAGGATACGAAAAGAAATGAAAAAGGTGAAAGTTAGTGAGAAAAAGACTATATTGTTTGTTTCTTTGGATGGGCTTTGTGATTAGTTATGGGCCAGGAGGCCCAGGACCAATGAGCTAGTTAGGAACTGGGCCAAGAACTAAGTCCAATGAATCAGTTGGGCCAAGTCCAGGCTTAGCTCAATATTAGATGTTTATATGTCCTTTTTTTTCAAAAGTATTTAACTTATAGTCAGTGTTAACGAACTTCAAACTTGCGATGCTACCCCAATTTCTTCAAAGTATTTAACTTGAATGTCGTGGACGTTAAATTTTATCGGATTTAAAATAGGAATTTATCAACAACAACAAAAACGAATCTAATCCATCTTCAAACTCCATATATAAGATCAAATTTTCATTTGGCTTGGGTTGTTCTTTATCATTTGGTTGATTTACACACAAAAATTTTTTAAAGAAAATCGTTTAGAATTTGTTCCTCTTTTAAAAAGTCGTTCAAATATATTTATTGAGAAATTATCCTTCTGCAACATGTTAGGTTCGAATCTAATATTTACTCCTATATAAATGGAGTTGAGATTCAAATTTTATGAGTTAAATTTTTGGACAACTACATCAAGTATTAGTAAATTAATCTTTATACATATTTAACTAATCTTTGACCACACATATTGAACTTAAACTAAAAGCTATTCAGTTAGACTAAATTGGTTACATATATTTATCGATCTTACAAATAAAATATTAATAATAGTCGAATACCAAAAGAGTCTTAAAGTTCCTCCACATGTTAACTTGATAAAGCATATGCTAAACGTGAGTACCCAAAAATATTAAAGTAGACAGCACAAAAGGTGCATAATTGAGAAAAGGAAGTTGGTTTCAAAGTAAAATTGGTTGTTGAAGTCTTCAAAGGACAACAAAGAGCATGTGGAAATCAATTAAATCCAGTATTTATTTTTTCTTTCGAAGCCACTAACTTAAAGTCGTACTTAAGTTGTACTTACTCTCTCGTACTTAGGAGTGAGCTCTTATTCTTTTTACTTTTTTGATAACTTGAACTTACTATTTTCGAATTGAAACTTAAAAGTGAATGATACTTACCATATGAACAACTCCCTTTCATCATCTTTTTATTTATAATTAATTAAAAAGCGTGTAATAGAAAAAATAATCTGCTAAAACCTTTAAAGTCAATTAACATAATATAAGCAAACCTTCTTACCATATGTCTAGGTTCACCAACCTCTCTCAATTTTAGATATATATTTAATGATATACTTTAATTTCCTTATTGACATTTATATAATTTTAAAATAATATATTAAATAAATTTATTGTAATTTCAAAATTCAGTCAAACTAATTCTCATAAAATATAACAACTAATATGATTCAAAATATACGGCATGTGCTTAGCTAGCTGCACTTGACTCTATTTTTTAAAAATATTGTTGTTTGTTTTCATCACAAAGCCACCATAATTGACCAAAAACATGTTAAATTAGAAAATAAAAGTCAAATTTGACTGAAGACCCTCTAAAATTGAGCAATTTTGTTAATTTCTAGTCTAAAATATCATGCCATCACTAGGAAGAAAAAAAAAACCTTTTTCATATTTTTAATAGTGTTTAAATTTGAGTTTTTTTTTTTTTTTTAACTATAAGAATTTGAAATAGTAAAATAATAGGCCTAACAAAAAAAAACTAGATGGACTTATTTAACAAATACGAAACGCTTTGTTAACCACGAGAATATATGTAAATAAAACGATAACAAACAAAAGTGATTTCAAATACTATAAGTTAGTGATCTTATAATTGAGTCGATTGATAATTAGAATCTCCATTTTCTTAATCATTCATGCCATTGTTATTTTCTTCTCGATAATATTTTCACATGAGTGAACATCCAATAATTCTACTAAATGAGCAAAAAAAAAAATTGACAAGACATGAAAAAATAGATATGATCATAGAAACAATGTTTCCTGTATTATTCGATTGCAAACTTAAATAATACATATTATATATATAATACTCAAAAAAAGAAAAAAGAAAAAAGAAAACAGAAATTGAAGAAAAACTGAGAGAAAACAGAACAAGATTATTCTTAATCATACAATTAATTACTATATGATTAAAAGAATAATCAGATCTTTATTCTTAATTAATCTTGATCTTTCTTCTGTTTTGGCACAGGAACCAAAGCTAATGAAGATGAAGAAATAGCTTTGAGATTCTTCTTGTTGTTGTTAATGACAATTTTGCCCTTTGAATCCTCAATTAAAGATTCATCATTATTTCTAATCTTGATTAAGAGATTTTGCTTTGATATGTTGTCTCCACTAACTGTTTTTTGAATTGGGAAGAAAAAATCTGTTGGAAAAAATTTGTATTGAAGACCAGCCATCAAAGTGCTAATTAAAAATTTGTTTGGAGTTTTTTTGTTGTGTTAAAAATTATGATGTGTATTTCACTTATTTATAGAAAAAAACTAGACACCCTCAAAGGGTATTGAAAAGTCATTGCTTTTGAGTTGGATTCTTCTTATTTATTTTTCTTTTTTTTGTTAAAAATGCTTTTTTTATTCCTAGAATATTCCAAGCAAAGGATCTAACTTTACACACTACTAGGGTTTAGGGTCTTC